CAATAATCTTTATGTGTGTAGCGGATTGTTACACTAGTAAAGCCTGACTGACTCAGAAATCTCTATGGCAGATTCTCCTACATCTAGCTAGACTCCCAGAACCAGCTAAGCTATAGCCCAGCTATCAAGGAAACAGAGACGTAGCACGGAGCACGTTTATTCAGGACGTATATTGCGGATCAAGTGTGTACACGCAGGGAGCTACTCCTGATCAGGATGGGGGATTAGGTTAAACAGAGGTTAATGATTAGTCACTGTTTGTACGGTCGCTGCACACAGAGTTGTACGGCCGCACCTCCCAATCCTGGCGAGCAAACATGCAGGTATACGATGACGAACAACGCGATAACGTGTCCCACATGTACATTGATGAAATCATATATATTAGTTGTAATTATTATCTGCAAATATCAAAATCGATTTCTCTGGAAATTGTTTCAAAGTATGTAGGAGATTTATGTTCTCGCGTCTGGTAATATGAATTTCCCCCCTTTCAGTTAGACGGCGAATCTCTGCCTTCTCGAATTTAAATTTTATGCCTTAACAATTGATTGTGAGTGTCATTTTTTGGCGCAAAATATCAAAACTAATACCCATTTTATTCAATTGCAACTTGTCGAAAAATTTCAAGAACAGATCTACTGAAATCGAAATAGTAGCATAGGAAAAAATTTGAACAAAACTCCTACACACATACCACTACTTCAAATCTTCTAAACGAAACTAGATATTAATGCAAATAGTCGCCAACAGTGGTACTACGCCAACTAATATGAAAAATCCAAAACTAAAATTCCTTGGTTTAGGGTATGAAGGTGAAGTATCATCAGACAAACTTAAAAATGGATGATTACAATATTATATCAAAATTCCTACATAAAATACTAAAGTGGTTTTAAAGAAAACTAATCAAATTAGACGGTTTCAGTGTAAGAACAAATGCAATGGTAAGTGTAAAAGCTAATAAAATACAAAGTTCGCAAATTTTGACGGCTAATGCCTCCATACAAAGTACTTTAGCTACAAATTACAGTTCGACCTCCTCTGCACAAATTCATACTGATCAGTCCTGAGGGGAAGGGAATATCCCACAGCCTAGGAGCCATTTAAGTGGAATGAAGTAATCATGCTATCCTTATGCTTTTTACCGGAATCAAGATAGGAAGGGAGATCAATCTGGGGCTAGTGATAATTAGCAAAACGGTATGCATTTATTGGAGGAATACAAGGCTAAAAATGCAGGTAAGACGACTTCAGTAAGTGGATAAGTAACCCTGATTACGAGGCAATAAACGATATAAAGAGAACAGTCTTGTCAAATTTTCTCTCACTAAGGCACTAACTATGTACTTTGAGGAAATTGGGGCCTTCATTTGGCGATTTACTTTAGCATGATTAGGTAGCACTTAATTGACCACTGCTGGGTTTCCGATTGCAAGAGTGATGATCTTGGCCACTCCATCTGTTCCCCCCCCCCTCTACCCAAAGCTTTCTCTTTGTATTCGCCAATGCGCCTCAACTACCCACCTCAGTTGTCATCACCTTGTTTTGAGGTGAAGATAAAAAGAAGTTGGAAGGGTGATGGCCTGAACAATGTCGAGCCAACTGGGACTAAACTACCTTCAACAGTATGCCACATCAACATTTTTCTGAGAAAAAGCATCCTTAAGTGATCATAAACGGTGATATTACTTGAGCCATTGCGTCTCCTAATTCAAAATTGCACTTGAAGTATTAATTATGTTAACTATTTTTTCACTTTTACCGTGTCTTAAAAGTTATTGCTTCATTTCTCAGGAAATTATTCGCAACACATTCATTTGGCAAATTGATTATATTGTGTGGTAGAGAGATAAATGGAATAATTTTGAAGCATGTGGGCCACGTCTACATACTTCTTTCCTCATCAGCTAGATTATCGATTTTTTAGCTATGTGTACTGGTGTTTGGGACTTTAATTTCATTTGACAATTACCATCTAGCCACTCATACCAGGTCTTCATTCGTTTCCTTCCGGTTGAGAAAAATTGCATTCGGCATACAAGTTGGTGAAGTCTAGATTATATAGGAGGATGCACAACAGTGACAACAAGAGTTTTAGAGCACGCATTAAAGTAGCCACAATTCCATAGGAAATATACTGCACCAAGGCACCCTCATATTATTTTATTATTAGAATTAAAACACACACACACAGAAGAGGGAGGTAAGTTAGCCTAAATGCCAGTAAAAATCAAGGAAGACATAGATAGAAAGTCAGGAAGGCGATTTGAATAATAAGCAAAACAGGAAAAGTGAATCAATATTAGCACGTCCCCATTTTATCGAATTAGACGTCGTGGACCCCGGCCAGCAGGTCCTTTTGGACGGGAAAAGGAGAGTGGTGTTTCGACCTCCTTTGGATGTAGAGTGTCAATTAAAAATACCGATGTGAGTTCCTTAAAGTCCTCGATTTCCAACTGATGAAAGAGAAGAGAGAGATAAATTGGGGCTTTATGATTTAAGAATAAAAGGAAAGTTTAAAGATAAGCAACTACCTTTCGTTGGATCTCAATGCCATAATGACGAGTGAGAGAGTCGATTAGGTTTCCTTTACAACTGGAGTAAAGCATACGTTCTTTGATGGGACTCTGATAGCCCGGAATAGTGTGTAGGAACACTACAAGAGGGGCGAAAATAGACTATAGACAGAATTTTTTTAATTGGCTTGAAGTACACTATCTACCACTACAACAATCAGTGTAGTGCAGTGATTACAAATACCTGATTGAAAATGCCCTACACGGACACACTCCACAAGAAGAACAGTTGGGAAATAGAAGCACGACTTGTTCTCACTTTTATATGCAGTGTCAAAATATTCGAGCTGCTATTGCTTTTCAGGGAAAATAAAGCACGATTGAAAACAAGGAAAATTGAGCCTCTCATCCAAGCACACAAGTTCAGTAGAACATTATCTTCCTGAGGGCGTTAAGGAACAACAGAGTAAACTTTCAACCAAATCGAAACAATACGCTACCCAACTGAAATATGAAGTCTCTTAAATGAGAAACAAGCACTTAGGCGATTCGTCATTGGGAAGTAGAAACCATCAGGATCTGCAGTTATTCCACTCTCTAGATGCTGATGGGTATCGAATTCGAAATCGTAATATATATACATTGGCAGCTACACCACTGATGCGCAGACTGAAATAAGCAAAACCAAAATAGAGAGACACTATAGAAGCCTTCTAAATAGCAAATCCAATTACGTGTTCATACTAGACAATTGACAGAGCTTAGAAAGTGGGAGTATAGAGTCGATGTCTTATTACAAAGGTCAAAGGTTTATTAATTTAGCTAATCCAACTAACTGAAAAATTGAACGTTGAGATAAGTTGAGGAAAAGTGAGATCTAAAGCAAGCCTATTTTTCATGGCAAGCATTTGCAATTGTAGAATTTTCACATTCGACTGAAGCTAGTTCTTCATCCTGTGCACTTGAAAAAAGAGAGAGACGTGACTTACCAACAGAACTGCACTCTGCTCCCTCAAAGGCATGCACAAAACGGTAGAGATGATAGGAACCAGTGTTGGCAGGAGTTAGAGATCCAATCTCTTCCGGTTTCACGCTGCTCTTTGATTCGGACACAAAGATCTCCTCTTTTGGAATATCGATTTGCTGCAAAGTGGGAAAGAAGGAGGGTGAACGATAAGATGACCCCCTTAGTAGGGAGGGGGGGGGGGAGAAGGGCTAAGCGAAAAGTGCAGGCCAAGCCACGTGAAAGTAAATAGAACCGTAGAACCGAAGAGCTTCGTTAGAGGCCCATTGCCTAGAATGGAAACTTACTGATGAAAAGAAAAACAACTGCATTAGATCGTCTCATCTACCGGCCAGATCAAAGGACTGTCGTAACAATAATTCATTGATCGCTGACCGATTGCAGAAATTTGATGAATAATAATTACACACGTGCATTTCGTTTGACCATGAATATGATATCTAGAGAACAATTTGTTTGTTACTTCCGAATGCTTCCATAAAGGTTCTGATACTTAGAAAAAG